GGGTTAAACTGAGTGTTTAAGGCAATTGGGCCATAATTTATCATTAAAATAACAAGAAACGTTAATTGATGCTCTTAAACAAATTCATATTGATCACCCGCGTCTTAAATGTATAAGCACATATAGATTCATCACCCCCCTACGATTGTGAATTCTGTCGAAAGCCTTTTTTAATTGATTGTACATTCATCATTATACTACTACAAAGATATTGGTGCGCACACCAGCATCCATTATTGATTTCTTTTTTTTCCTTGCCTCCGCTAAGAGAGGTTGAGTAGAGAATCATCCCGTGCCTTGACGCCAACCCATCCAACCAAACTCTCTATTCTGCAATCTCCTTCGCTTCCCGCGTACCAGCCGACCCGGGGAACTTGCCCCCGTTGATGCCATACCGCCAGGTCATGTACCCCAGCATGCCTGCTATGCTCCCCAGCCCGCTGGCTCCCACGACGGCCCTCCACCCCAGAGGCGCCGCTGCCCCCCTCGTTGCCGCCGCCAGCACCGCGGGCGCGGCCACCATGCCCGCGTAGGTCCAGTCGTCCGTCTCGAGCTGGCCCTCGTTCTCGAGGAGGCGCCAGCTGCGGTCCCTCCACTCGATCTCCTCGCGGCCGTACATGCGCCCGACCGTGGCGAGGGCGGAGAGGCCGACGCCGACGAGGGCGCCGGTGGAGGAGGAGGCGAGGAGGCGGGAGGCGAGGTAGGCGAGGGGCTGCTGGCGGCGGGCGGGGGAGAGGATGTAGCGGGAGGCGGAGATGAGGGAGCCGATGATGGCGCCGGTGGTGAAGCCGCGGGTGAGGACGTGGGTGGTGAGGATGGTGTGGTGGAGGGGCTGGTCCTCCGCGTAGGGAGGGTGGGGGAAGAAGCGCGACATGGTTTTTTTCAATATTCAAGCAGCGGATATATTAGAATAGATGAGGTGAGTCTTGATTAATAGTAGGAAGCTGTTCGTGGTGGTTTGATGTTGGGATATGTGCCGTCGTCTTGATGGCACAGCCGACAATGACGGATTGGCGAGAGTGAGGGAGCCTGAGCTATGGCACTTCAGCCGTTCCAAACCTTGAGCTTGTCATCCCGTCAGCTGATATTTGTAGACCTGGCTGATGAATGCACGCCGACGCAGATAGCGACAATCTAGAAGCATGCATGGCTTTCAGCTGGAGCTAGGGTAGGTCGCTTCGCCAAATTGTGGAGAGCTCCCGCTGATCCCGCTGAGCGTTTGGCCCATCAGAGGCCGCATAATTGTCAGTCGGCCAGATTGTCGTCCGCTGGCCCACTAATACTTTGTAAGGCGGAAGCCGAGTCCGAGGCTCCTTGTTTGCTGCTTCGCTTCGAGCAAGCAGGTAAGCTGGCAGATGAACATCAGCTCTTCTTTCGCAGTTGATAGAGATGTAAATAGGTCATTTAGTTTCTATACAATGCTTTTCTTTTTCTTCCCCGATGCCGCCAAACCCATGATTGGTCCCCCATGCCATTTTCCTGAACGCCATACTAGTAGTATATCCAGATCTCCACGCTCCTGCAAACAGGGAAAGCTCTCAAAGAACCTGAATAGAATTCCGACTGCCCCGGACATTGCATTTCCAAGGAGACGAAGCTACTCCTCATCAGTCATATCCATCATGCTCTCCTCTTCTAGCATAGAAACACGAGTCCTCCCGACTGTTCCTTTGCCCTTTTCCAGCATACCTCTGCCGTAGCGTTCCCCGTTCACCTTGTGAGCTGCAGCTAGTTTCTTGTCATCCAAGATTTGCTCAAAATCGGCCAAATCTTCTGCTTCATCTTCGGCGATTCCGTCCATAACCGCCGTCTCGTCTAGTGCTTTGTTGAGGAGCTCCGTCGCGATGCTGTCCTGTGGGTTGATCGCTAGAGCCTCGTGCAAGACCACGACTGCTTCCTCAGGCTTGTTCTGCTCCATAAGTATCAGCCCCTTGGCGCTGAAGATTGCCGCATCCTTTCCACCAAGTCTCAGCACCTCGTCGAAGTGAGCCAGTGCCTTATTAAACTGCCGGAGTCGTCGCAAGGCATGTGCCAGGTTTGTTCGAGGTGCGATCCAGGCGGACGGCTCACTGTCAATCTCGTCTGCGATCTTCAGCGCTGCCAAAAAGTACTGCGCAGCTTCTTCGAGCCTGTCCTGGTGGTACTTTACAATCCCCATCTCGTTTAGCAGCAGAGGATCCGTTTTGCACAGCCCATATGCTGTTTTCAGGAACTCTTCTGCTAGTGTCATATTGTTGAGAGCATGATTCTGCATGCCCAAGAATACCTGTGGTAGATGTGTGCCCATGAATAGCCGGGCGGCGGTTGAATATGCCGAGATTGCCTGATCGTGCTCTCCCTCCTCGGCAAAAGTATGCGCAAACCCGATCCAGGCAGGTCCAAAATGCGCATCCATCATGCTGGCCTTGCTGAAATATCGTCGCGCTTCGGCGATCTTCTTGATGGCAAAATAGTATATACCAACTGCAAGCCAGGTGCAAGGTTCCTCAGGGTGACTATCGGCGAGATCGTGCGAGATGAGGAACAGCATGTTCTTCATGTTGAGCTCGTAGAGACAAGCGAGATGGACTGGGTATATTGTAAAGTTGTATTTGTCGTTTTCGAGAATCGAGTTGGTGATTGCTAGCGCATCCTGATAGCGGCATTGCGTGAATAGCAAATCGGCCCGCGCGAGCTGCAGATCCGGGTTGTCGGCCAGATGGTAGTGAGTAGACAAGGACTCGTATGCGGTCTCGAAGGCCTCTGGGTTTCGGTATTTGGACAAACGAGTTGTGTAGAGCATTCGTGTGAAGTCGGCGGCCTCCTGGGACGCCGAATTATCGCCAGACACATGCACCGAGTCGAAATCTAAAGATTCTAGAAAGTGCCACTCCTCGTCTGGGGACAGAAGGGAGTTCTTCATGAGTTGCTGGAAAGCCTCGAAACACTGGACGTCAATCCGGACAGCGTCTTTGTAACATTCCTTGGCGGCGTCGAATGCGTTCTGCTTCGCGTAACAGATGCCTCGGAGAAAGCACATGGCTGCTTCAAAGCGCCGGTTCGCCGCCTCCTCCTTAAGAAGTGCCTCCTCTTCCTCCCCACGCTTGCCGGGGCGTGCCCCATGGCGAGGCTGTACCTTGCGCTTGTTGCTGGGGCCCGGATTGGTGATCAGATGGGTAGGATTCCGTTCGCCGAGAACTGTGAGGGCTTCTTCAAATCGAGATTGCTTGATCAAACAATGGCCAGCGAGATACCGACAGGCCGGACTGCGAGTGATGAGATCTTGCTTCATAAGAAATGCGTGAGCGCGAGTGTAATTGCCGGTAGCAAAATGTACCTGGGCCAGCCAGAATGCATCATTATCGTCGTCTAAGGGCCGCGGGGGATTAGATTGTCAGCGGCGTTGCGATTGCAGGGTCTCGAAGACATGACGTCCAGGTCCAACATACTTGTCAGGGCCAGCAGCTTGTCACCGATGAAGATGGCCGAGTCGTACTGCGCTTTGTTCAAGGCATCTTGCCTCCATTCGCGCAGGAACCTTTCCATTATGGGTGTGGGTGTGGAAATGCTGCATTTGCATGCGCGGGAATGGGATTTACGGACAATTCAATTCACAAGGCCGATGAAGCTAGTTGTGGAGATTGAGCAAACTAGAAGCCACACCCTCGTTGCGGCTGCTTTGTTTGGATTCGGCACTCTAGGTTAATTACCTGTCGCGTGCACGCGTCGCGGGGTTGTGCCCAGCAACAGGCTGTACAAGTACGCAGGTACTTATTACTCGTATGACAATACCTACCTACCTTACGTACAAAGCACAAGTCGTGTTAAGGAGAACTTTGTTCTCTTCTGGGTCTGTGGCGTGTTACGCTTTCTGCTAGAATGTCCTCATCACAAGACATTCTGTTCTGCTACAAGTGAGTCAAAGATTTGGGCGACTTCACATTGCTGCCCTATCAAAGGCGTCAGGTTGGTGAAGGGCAGGTGCCTGGCAGGCATGCTTTTGAGGCTGAACCTAAGAGAAACTGCCTAGAATGTTCTGGCCAATCATGACTCTCCGTTCTTGGCTGCCCCTGCTGCCTGGACCACCCTCACAGCCAATCGCAGACCGGCACGCAAGGAGGTACATGCTGTAGGTACCGCCTGCCAAAATCACTCCCTACGCACGGACCACCCAAAGAACCTATATATACTCGCTCTGCCTCCAATTATTTTCCTCTTTTCTTCTTTCTTCTTCATCCGCGTGCTCGGGCATTTTCCTTTTCCGTGAAGCGTTGAGCTGAGAAAGGAATTTTGCTAGTTGAAAACTATACAAAGACTACTCTCTTCTACTTTATTGTGGAGGAGGAATTTTTGGAATCCTTCGTTCACACATTGTGTCATTTTGTCTTTCATTGCGGCTCAGTCCCTTGTGGATTGGCGTGAAGAAGGTCGTCAAGTTTGCACATTCAGAAGCAAGCAAACAAAGTGCTGTCTCCAGGGAGAATAATGTGGTGTGTCGGGAGTCGATCTCTGTAGAATTAATCTGAAGGGTGACGCGCGAAATCGGGAAAGGAAAACACGTAGAATTGCGACACTGCGACGTGAATAGCAGAGTAGTTACTTAGTCTAGTATTAGAGAAGGTTGATCATGCACCTGGAGTCAAGAATCTATTCGTGGAGTTTTTGAGTGCATGGTAAATGCCAGTTGACGTGTCGAGGCTCGTTAAACTCATGCGGCGGGAAAAAAAATCTCGGCGCAGTGCGGTCATCGTAGTAGCGCGGGGCATCCTTGCATTTTGTCCAGCAGTGACTCAAACCTCCCATGACTGTCCAGCGAATAATTTGATGCCCATTGCGAGACCCAACACTGCGCGACAACTACAGGCGACATCAGCTTTATCCCTCAAGCTGTGTGCGATCGAATGAATACATATTTCTACTACATTCGGTTAAATTCTTGTCAACTTCCATCGTCGTGAATCGGAGCTGTTTTGTCAACCCCACGTCGTTGAATCTCCCACCCACACACCAGCCCGACAGCTATGGCGACCGAGGCAAATACCTCTGCCCCGGCAGAGCCACCTCAAGCACCGGCGACCCAGAATACCCAGAAGGAGACCCAGCCCAAAGACCAAAAGGCGAAAGGCGAACAACCCGCAAAGGACGGGGAGCCCGCGGGCGAGAAGAAGCTCTCGGGCGCCGAAAAGAAAAAGATGGCCAAGGAGGAGAAGGCCGCAAGACGAGCACAGGCCAAGGCTGCCCAAGCTTCACAAGGCCAGCCATCGGGGGGGCAAGAAGGAGCCGGAGACGGGGGCAAGGGAGGCAAGGGCAGGCCGAAGCAAGACGGCCAGGCGGGAGGACAGCACAAGGGACACCATGCGAAGCCAGCAGCCGCCGCACCTGTGGTACCCAAGGAGGTGAAGCCAGCCGTCCCCGAATGCTTCGGCCATCTTTCCATGGCCCGAAGAATAAACATTACCCAAGCGGACAAGGACGTCGACCCCGCCGTCCTTGTGCTGGGCCAGCACATGAGTACCTTTGCGCTGAGCGATAGCATCACTCGGCTGGAGGCTACTCTATACGCTTTCAAGAAGGTAATACGATATGCTCTCCAGTTGAGATTAATAGAAAATCGAAATCTAATCCGTCTCAAAGGTTATTGACTCCTACACAACTCCCATCGGAACCACCTTCTCACGCCACTTCACCTCACACGTCCTCAACCCACAAATCGACTATCTCACAGCATGCCGGCCCATGTGCTTCTCCATGGGCAATGCGATCCGATGGTTGAAACTGCAAATCAGCAAAATCGACATTGATCTACCAGACCTGGAAGCCAAGAAGCTTCTCTGTGAATCCATCGACAACTTCATCCACGAGCGCGTGACCCTGGCAGACTTCGTTATCGCCAACACCGCCGCCGAGTTGATCGAGGACGACCAGGTGGTGCTGACATACGCCCACCACCACCTTGTCCAGCGGGCCCTGCTCCAAGCCCAGGAGCAAGGGAAGCAGTTCCGCGTAGTGCTCATCGACGACGCCTTTGAGCGTGTTGGTGTCGAGCACTCCAAGACTCTCGCCGCCGCAGGCATCCCAGTCACATATGTATCCGACCTTGGCGCCCTGCGCTCCAACCTTCGCGACGTATCGGTGGTCCTGGTCGCCGCTGAAGCCATGTTCAGCAACGGGGCCATGTACGCTCGGTCCGGCACCTGCGACATCGCAATGGCCGCCAAGGACCTGGGCATCCAGGTCGTAGCGCTCTGCGAGACCATCAACTTCACAGAACGTGTGTCCATCGACTCGCTCACATATAACGAGATTGATCCCGAGAGGCTGTCCGATGTCGGGTTCCGCCTGCTGTTCGACACCACGAGGGACAGATACATCTCCACAATCATCACAGAACTGGGCAATGCGTCGCCGACGGCAGTACCGGCAATCCTCAGGAAGCTAGAGGAATTATAGATACATCGAACAAGCAATAGAATGACATGTCAAGATAATTCAAGACCATGACCGTGCTCAACCGTGACGTTTCATTTTTTTTTTTTTTTTTTTTTTGTAGCTGTGGAAATGCTGTCTCTGAGTTTCATGGCCCTTCATGTAGCAACATTACAGACGAGCCCGCTACTCTGCCATACATGAACAGTGATGTACAGTGAACAGAACACACACTCATGCGACGACAAAAAGGAAGTGAGTAACCGTGGTTGTTGTTTGCTCCGCCTGGACGCAACGCATCTCACGCCCCAGGTCTAATTCCCGGAATATGTACAGTCGACAGACAATCCCCATCGAGGGCTCTACCGAGTCGAGTTCTTTTGCTCTTTCCTCCCTTGCCAGACATTTATTATCGGTACAACTCAAGCCTAGGCCAGAGCCTCGGCATCCCTCGCGGCCTTCCTCGCCCTCTTCTCCAGGAGCTTGTCCTTCCGCTCCTCCAGCAGCGCCGTCTGCTTGTCGTCGACGCCCTGCAGCCAGTATCCGAAGCTGGCACCGCCGGCCGCGTAGACGGGGTACACCCAGAGGGATCCCTTGTTGAAGAAAGGCCGCATCTCAATGCCGACCTGCCAGAAGCGCACGGCCAAGCCTAATTTCGAACACTCTGTTAGCTCTACGGTTCCTTCTGTCCCTTTGTCCTCTCTCTCTCACTCGATCGCGAGTCTCAATGGGGTTGGTCTTTGGGATTGGAATCTGCCGTACCGAAGGTGCTCCAGAAGGCAATGCGGTGCACCATGATGGGCCAATTGATTTCGCTCGGGGGTCGGGATACGGGAGGGGTACGCGTTTATCTCTCCGATTGGAGTAGTGAGTGGCTGGTAGGCGAAGCTTTGCGTCGGGGAATTGCCTCGCTCGTCGTGAGGTGATGTTCCTGGTGTAGAGTTGATTGAGATGGATTGCCGAAGCTGACCCACATTTGAGTCACGTGACAATCCTCAAGCTCTCTCGTCCAATGAACATGCTGCCATTTCCACTCCATGATATAGGTCAGAAGCTGGCCATCAAATACTGACATGGATGAGAAGAGTGTTAAATTTAGTTACCTGCCTGGTTAATACGTATAATATTATTCAAACGGGCCAAAATATCATAGTCGTTTTGGGTAGGAAGGGTGCGTCGATCGGCATCGCCAGACTAAGCCAACTCGAGCTCGCCGACCAGAGCAACCAGGCAGCATATAAGCGAGAATACAAACAACCAATATCAGCGAAGTAGTTGCAATCAAACTATTACTCAACGGCTTAAATAATCCTTCTGGGATCTTCGCTTACCATTTTGTATTTTCTTTTACTTCCTGCTTCGATTCCATGACTGGTCTCATAGCTGTCCCTTTCTTCCCCCCTTTTTTTTTAATATCCTGGGACCTGATGTCCTTATACTCTGACACCTTTCATCCAATGTGACATTAAACACGAATGGATTATCAGTAAGGGAGAGTGTGAGTCTATTGTTCTAATTATGTCTAAAGAGGGAGGATGTAGGCTCCTTCGGGCTCATATTTCTTACTCAAAACACATGAAATAAACCAGGACCCCTAACGCCGGCTGCATCTTTCTGCAGCTTCAGATATACAATTTCTCGCGAGGGAAAAAAATCATGTGCGACTCATCTAGAGTATAGTACGTTGGTATTTATCGACCGGATCTAGTAGAATAAGGCGGCGGCGGTTCTCGCGCAGGAGTGGGTGGTTGTTGCGGTGGTTGTGACTGCTGGCTTGGAGTGGATGCGGGCTGTTGCACCCATGTGGCCACCTTCACCATCATTTTGCCAAAGTATTGTTGTATGAAAGACTCACTGTACGGTGTTAGCAACTGCTATACATTTCTCAACATGAAGTGGGAATATAGACTTACGTGTAGTAGCTATGGTCAGAATTGTGCGTTGAAACAAGATTGTGTGCCAGCTCATGAGCTAGGACAACCCACCACCAGGTAGCAGCTTCAGCTTTGGCAGCCCCGGCATTCTGACCGCCAATCTGGGCAGCATGAAGCTGAAGGAAGAACCTGAAATTACAGAACAAACTTCCTCCCTTGTTAAACGCGATTGTGTTTCCAGACTCGTCGTAGAAGATGTGGACAACATTGCGAGATAAGGAGTAGACATTAGCGACATCCATGAGAATCCCAGCGAACGCATTGATAGCCAGGCTGTTTGCAGCAATGAATTTGGCTCCTGAAGTTGTCATATTGTTGGACACGTATACCTTCATGCCATTGGACGCTTCGGCAGCAAAAGATATATTCTGAGCTGGCTTTTGATCGCAGTATGTAGCCTGTTCTTTGACTTCATTGACTTCGGGGTCAGAGAAGAGGTTTGAAGAACCATGTGGACGCGAGGCATTGATGGCGTTAAGCAGGTTCTGTTGCACAACAGCTGGACTGGTCACCCGGCCGTCGTCATTCTGGGGTCGCCTCGTGTTATTCTCTTGAACCGGTCCTGCGGTTGTTGTGGGCTCCTTGGGCTTGTCTACGAATTGTTCTAGCTGACGCTGGGCATCTGTCTCTTCTTGGGTGTCGAATCCGAGACGGCGCGTGAGGTTCGAGAACAGATTGCGACCTTTTCTGGCATAGTCGGACATGTCAACCTTTGGCTCGTCGGGTGAGTCCCACGAGCCAGGCATCACTTGGTTCGGAGTCTCGGGTGCCTTTGCCGTGCCAGAACTGCTTTCGCCTTGTTTCTCAACCGTATTACTTTGCTGGGCCCAAAGTTTCTCGCGCTCTTGAATTCTCTGTTGCTCCTCTTCCAAAGCTTTACGGCGCTCCTCCTCAGCGATCCTTGCCTCTGCGGCCTTTGCGCGTAGAATTCTGTCAACGTTGTACCCTCGAGCTCGGAGTCCATACAAGTCAAGAGTTAGGAATGGCTCGAAAAAGAGATAGGCTTGCTGATTAGGTCGGTCGAGAAGCATCTGGCAGATAGCCTGCCCAACCTGATACATGTCCGGTTTCCCATCGTCGGCCACATAAAGAACCCAGGAGCCGGTATGCTTGGTTCCAGCGGCAGACCTCTTCTCTGTATGGGTTTTCCGTTGGCCTTGTAAGGTTCGCCTGAGCGCAACTGATGTAACCATTTCTACCTGCAGGTTCTTGTCAAGCCACTTTGTGTCATGTTTGATCGCATCCCGGCGATAGTTGGCATACTCATACAGAAAGATCTTGGATCTCTCCAGCACGTGTTTTCGAAGAGAGTCAGCAACCTTGCCTCTACCAGACTGAGGACCGATCCGGACATCTTCTTGAACAATGCTACTGAGCTTTTGAGCACCAAGGGCGAGGTAAAACTTCTCAAGAGCATCCTCTTCGGGGGCACAGACGAGCTGATCCTTAAAAAGACGATAGCTGATGATATCGTCCAGTACAACAATCTGATTTGCTGATGCTAGTTGATAATGCTTGATTGGTACTTCGTCTTCTTCCAACTCAATCAAATTCTCTTTGGGAGCTGTCAACTCCTTGTATGCAAGGAGGAAGCTGGCCGATTTCATCTTCCGCCACAGTTCCTTATCCCGATGGAGAGTCGATGAGGCTTCTGCGAGAGACTTGAGCAGGTCGAGGTATTTCTCAGGACTTTGGAGCACACTCAAAAGCCTGGCGGGCTCGTTGCATGCCATATTTGCAACCTCGAGTTTGGTCGGCTCGCTCTTTGCTCCGCAAGTGAACAAAAATGCGTTGGCGTCCTGACCAAAGTCCACAAAGTCGAAGATATCGCCATATGTTGCGGATGACCCTAGATACACCCGTGAGGGACTGATATATGATGTAGTGGTGGTTGATTTACTGTCCCCTTTGGGAGAAGAAGTTCGAAGAACTGGTACGATATGAGCATTGCGGAGCTTCGCCTTATTGTTCTCGCCCAGCTCACGGAGTCGAGACGCAAAGTACCCAAAAAGAGGGATCGCCGCCTGATGAGACTGGGGAGGATTGGCAAGAAGTCGATTCACACACTCTACCATGTGAGGGTCTCCAGCTACTCCGAATTTCTAAACAATGATTCGTTAGCACCCGCCTTAAGTAGAAAACGCAACGAAACTCACATTGGCATGGTCGTGTAAATCTTTCCGCAGAATTTGGAACCCTAAAATGGACGCGCGCTCATTGGTGAAGCAAGCAGACGGAACAACCAGCTGGGAGCTTCCTTGCAAAGGCATTATGGCTTTGCGGCAGTTTGAAACATCGAAGGCGAAGTACTTATTAGTATGATGGTTGGCAATGAAGTATGTCATGGCTGATACGCGAAGGGATTCATCTTTGCTCGCCATCATCTCAATCAATTCGGGAGCAGAGGGGGAAGGTCGAAGTCCCAAGACGGCCAAGAAGCGCGCTTCTGGGGTTCCCTGACGGGAACTACCAGGAGGGACTGGCCATTGAAGGATTGGCAACCTCAATGCTCTGAGGGAATCTTTTGGCTCAAAGAGTTCAGAGACTTTGTAAAGAGTCTTGCTCCCTTTTGTGGGCTCGAGTCCCTTGGGACCAGCTTCAGCAGGGCAAATCTTGGAGTTTTGGAGCTTTCGAAGGTCCTCCGCAGGAATGTCACCCTGAACAGAGGCGAGATATTTGATCAGCTCCATATGACTCCATTTCTGTCGGCCGTCTTCGCCAGAAGAACTCAGAAGCCTTGTAAAGATCGTCTCTAGGTCAACCGTTTTCCTGACCCCAATGGCTGTGAGGAACTTTTCTTTGACCTTGTCACAACCCTCGATAACCGGGAGATCATCGAAAAGCTTCACACTTGGAAAGAATGATTCGGCTGGCTTTCTCATACCCAACTTGGTAGGCATGACTGTTTGTGGCTGGAGAAGGCTAAGAACAGACTGTCTCTGAGTAGCACTGAGGTTATCCCAATTCTTAGATATCACCGTCAAAATCTGGACCGCAAATTTAGGTGCCTTGGTCAAGTTCTCGCTCTCTGACTTGAGAGACTTTGTCTCCAAGAGAAATCGTAACCAAGGGACGACTCCCAGAGGTTCCCACCCCAGCGCTTCAAGTTCTGCCTTTTGGCAATGGGAGGTAAACACGAAGGGGATAGTGGTTGGTGGAACTGGAAGGTTTGCTGGGATACTGGCAGGGACCAAGTAATTTTGAATGCTTCCAAGGGCGATGATCTCGCCTTTTTCTTCCTCTTCGCCGACAGATGCAACGGCTACTTCTAATAGTGCCGATCTGCTGCCGGCATCCAGCTCACCAGTAAGGCTCTTCTTACCTGCCCAGCTAATGAAATTGATCAGTTGTGTTTTATTCAGAGACTTGATTTCAAGCTCTTTCTTGACATCAGTAACCGTAATTTCTGATACAAGGCCAAAATCGATCAACTTTCTCACAAAGGGCACGTCCAACATCTCCTGAGGAATGACGGGGATTCTATCGACAAATTTACTCAGTTCTTTAGAGCCAAGTCGGACTCGGGAAGTCTGGAGAACACCGAGACTGGAATAAATCTCGATAGAAGCCGACCTAGGGAAACAAGTCCAAAATGATTCCTCGATGACTTGCCCTACCTGCCCGCTGGGGGTAGAATCTGTGAATGTGAATGTTTTTAGGTTATGCAGTGCTTCAGGCATGAATTTGACGATGTTGTCATTGCTGATGGTGCCGCGGCTATCAGCTGTGCTTTGAAGCCGACTCTGGAGGTCGTTCATCTCGTTTGCAAAAGCTAATCGAGTGATGATTCCGGCAGCTCGGAGAAGCTCAACATTCCACGTTCTGACCCATCTTGCGTTCAGATCAATAGCCTCTCGTTCGACGGTTGGAATAATCGAAGGTGCAGAGATGTGCAATCCAGCACCTGTGGTCTGCATGGTGGGAAATCCGATAAAGATTCGACCTCCAGGCTTCTTATTTGGGAGAACCGAAGCAAACACATCGGTGGCTTTACCAACGGCGCCTTCAGCTTTTGCTTCTTCTGAAGCGTGGGCCTCATCATATGATGCGGTGAGAATGGATATCTTGGTTGATTTGGGCGGAGGCTTCTTCGTCGCACGTTCAAGTTCAGATGCAAATGACGCCGTCACATGGGTCTTAATATTTGCAGTCGTCGCTCTGAGGAAGATTGTTGAAGAGCCGAGTTTTGTTACATCTTCTCCTATCGCCTTTTGGGCTGATCTCTCCTCGTTTTGTGCCTTGGTCTTCAGAAGGGACTGTGAGGACCCGGCAGTCAACCGCGCGAAGAAGGAGCGAATAGAAGGGGCTTCACCAGTAACAGCAGCGGTGTCAGGAGATTTGTGAGATGAGGTATTGGCCTGGGGCTTCCACCCAACAACATTCATGAACACAGCATCGATCTGCGTGCTGGTTCTCCCAACCTCCGCGATCTTCATTAGACCGTCCTTGGTCCTCGCTTCCAAGCCTTTCGGCAGCTGTAACTCAGCAGTTGGTGAGGTTTTCTTCTTTAGGGAAAGAATCTGATAATCATCTATCCAGAACTCTATACTTTCGAGGGCAACAAATGTCAAACTGGTGGCGAGAAACTGGCTAACAGAAAGCAAGTTTGGCAGAGGCGTGGTTGCGTTTCTATTATCCAAGACAAATGTCGTATGCGGACCGGCCTGGTCTTCGGGGAGCTGTGACTTTTTGGTGAAGAGCGCATTTCCCTTCCAGTAAAATGCCATGGCTTCGCTTCCGGAGCTGACAAACGGCTCCTCGCAATCAGCGAAGACACTGTAGAAGCCAACGCCGAATGCTCCGATCTTCGTTTCATCGGGGTTTCCCTCAGCAATCCTCTTCAACCGACCCCAATCCGTCTTTGTAAATGGCTGTCCATCGTTCTGAACAACTAGTCGGCGCACGGTATGGTTGGATATTACATGCTTGAGAAGCTCGGATCGGTCTGATGTACTTGGGAGTGGCACTGAAGTAGAGGGAAGGGTTTCGAACTTGACCATGACGGTCTTCGCTTGGGCATCGGTGGCATTTTGAATAAGTTCTCTCAGAGTCGTCCACTCTCCCGAGTATCGAGCAAGAACCTTGTCTATTAACGCGCGGGTATCGACAGTGACGGCCTCCTCATCCTCTCCATCCCGTAGCGCGGTCGCGCGCAACTTCGAGTAGTCCATCTTGTGTCTATTGCGGCTCGATTACAGCCCGTCTATCGTGTATAATCTAGAATCAACAGTTTGTATCGGACATTTTGGCTCCCTGGATGCTTTTGGCAGATGCAATGATGGGACCAGGCAGAGAAGACCGTGGCAATTACGAAAGCTGACCAAGTTCGCCTCGTGGCCAGGCAACACTCCGCTTTGCGTAAGAAAACCGTGGGTCGCGTGGAAGATGGACAAGAAGATCGAAACAGGGGGAACACAAGAGACGATTTCCACTACCCAGGCTGGTCACCAGACAAAGCAGAAAGGGATTAAGCACGGCGGCTCGGCTTAGTAGTGGAAGGGATCACTGACACACTTCGCAGATCGGCCCCCAGCTTCAATGGCTGTGGGGCAGCTATTTGTATTTAGGGGTTCTAGCGTCATATCAAGAGGCTACAGGGCCAAGGTGAGGTATCCGCCAAGCTTCGCCAGCGGGGTTGTAGTGATGGACTCGCTTAACCTGAACCTTCACAACGAACAACTCCACTGAGTCATTACAAGATAGGCCTTGACCTACCCGCGTGAGCTTCAAGATGAGGGTCACGCGAGCTTGCTACTCGGCCACACTGGGCAGCAGCCCCATTCCTCAGGCAAAGCTGAAGTTTGTTCCCAGTTCAGGAACCTACCCCAAAGGGTTCAATGTGTCCGGCGTCTTCGTCGGAGTGAAGCCAGGAAATACCAGCAAGCCTGATCTCGCCCTCCTCACCTCTGACCGGTCATGCGCGGGTGCAGCCGTGTTTACCAAGAACAAGTTCCAGGCGGCTCCCGTCACATTCAGCCGAAAGCTGCTACAGACTAGGGCCAATGCTGGAATCCGCAGTGTCATTATCAACTCTGGAAATGCCAACGCCGTTACCGGCGCTGGAGGTCTAGAGGATGCGGCGAACATGGCCAAAACGACGGACCAGCGAGTGGGCAGCGAGGATTCGACCATCGTAATGAGTACTGGTGTTATTGGCCAGAGGTAAGAGAGCCAATTGACTTATTTGAATTATTCCATGCGTCTTCAATGGATGCGCAGGCTGACATGTCTTGTGTTGTAGGTTGCCCATCCAAAAAATCGTGGATCACATCCCCATGGCATACCACCATGCTGGAGACTCACACAAACACTGGATGAACTTTGCCAAAGCCATCTGCACCACCGACACATTCCCTAAGCTGATTTCCCGACAATTCACTCTGCCCTCCTCTCCTGGCATTGAGTATAGTATCGCTGGAATCACCAAGGGTGCGGGTATGATTGCGCCCAACATGGCCACCCTCTTGACTGTCCTCGCAACAGATGCCCCGATCGCGCCCAGTGTCATGCCAGCTGTTCTCAAGCATGCCGTGGATCGCTCTTTTAACTCCATCACCATTGACGGAGATGCATCCACCAACGACACCGCCGCTTTACTGGCAAATGGTGCTGCAGGTGGTGTCGAGGTCTCTTCCCAGGACTCAGCCGACTACGAGACTTTCAAGGAGCTCCTGACTGAATTCTCCGCTGACCTAGCCAAGTACATTGTCCGTGATGGCGAGGGCGCCACCAAGTTCGTTACTATCCGTGTTGTCGACGCCGCCACTGAGGAGGCAGCTCGTGAGATCGCCCGATCCATCGCCCGCTCACCGCTGGTCAAGACTGCGCTGTATGGCAAGGATGCCAACTGGGGACGTATTCTCTGCGCTGCGGGGTATGCTCTCATCTCTCCCCCCGGACAGCCCATCAATGATGTGCCTGAGATTGTCCCCGAGAAGACCAATGTCTCCTTTATCCCCGCTGATGGCTCGGCTGAGCTGAAGCTTCTCGTTGACGGCGAGCCAGAGCAGGTCGATGAGGAGCGGGCTAGTGAGATTTTGGAGATGGAGGACCTGGAGATCGTGGTCAGGCTGGGCACAGGAGACAAGAGCACTGTTCACTGGACCTGCGATTTCAGTCACGACTATGTGACCATCAACGGTGACTACAGGACATAGAGGTCAATATATATAACGGCGCTCTGGTTCATAATAAGTACTGAAAAATATATTTCGCTAGACAGATTTCCATTGCCGTAATTTCTGTCATTGATATATCGAGGTCGTAAAATTGAGCCTCCGTGACTACGTAAATTCTTTTTTTTCTATCGCTCCTAAATCAATCCAGCCATACTCCATCTCACCGTCGCACTTTTATACGCTCAACGTGCCCTTGGTGCTAGGAATCTCACCCTCCTTACCCGCAACCCTGCTCGTGGCCATCTTGATAGCCACGGCCAGTGCCTTGAAGGCGCTCTCGGCTCTGTGGTGGTCATTGAAACCCCGGATGCAGTCGACGTGCAGAGTGACCCTGGCGGCCTGGGCGAAACTCTCAAAGCAGTGAGGGACCATCTCGCAGCTGAGCTTGCCAAGGAACTCGCGCTTGAGACCCAGTTCGACGACAGCGTACGGGCGGTTGGAGAGGTCAATCACGGCGCGGGAGAGGGCTTCGTCGAGAGGAGCGTAGGCATATCCGTAGCGAGCGAGACCGACCGGGGTACCGAGGGCCTTGGCGAAGGTGTATCCGAGAGCGAGACAAACATCTTCCGCCGTGTGGTGATCATCGACTATGGAGAGGGAAGTTGGATCTGTTAGCTGGCGGCATTACAATAGAGAATGGCAAGGGGAACGTACTGTGCAGGTCGCCTTGACAGTTGACGGCCAAGCTCCAACCGGCATGCTTCGCGAGAGCATGCAGCATGTGGTCTAGGAATCCAATGCCAGTGTTGACGGCGATCTTTTGCGACTTGCTGTTCTGAGAGGCATGGCTCCCCTCGTCACCGAGCAGGCGGGCATCGGTCTCGGGGGGGAAGTCGCCACCATCGAGGTTTAGGGCAAGCTGGATCTTGGTTTCGTTGGTATCGCGGGCCATAGCCGCCCAGCGAGGGGGGTTTGATGTGCTGGCCATTTGATCTATCCCTTTCCTTAGCAGTCGGAGCGTGGTTGTCTGTTCAATTGACAAAGCTATTCAAGCACCAAAGTTGGAGGGGCGTATTTCTTCCAATGCCCGCTCCTAGATCGGAGGCCAGCTATTAACTTTTTGCTCCCCACCTTGCCCAATCGCGGGGCGCAGGATAGTCAGCTCCATCACTTCTCTAGCCTCGATCTGCACAGGGCTACATCTAATAATTGATGCCAGATTTCTATAGGATACGATGAAGGTCTAAACTGTTTTGAAAGGATGGCATGTAAGATGGGGAAAGAGGGACACCTGAGGAGCGGGGACTTAGCCACATAAACATTAAATTGCATTTTTGGGGCTCCTCTTTCATGCCTCTTTTTTCTTTACACGGGTGCCCTGAATATCTAAGAGCTATGGATATTCCCTAAGTGATGGAGGAGATAGAGGTTTCCTACTCAAAGGCCGATTTTCACTGCTCTCCAAATGTTGACCAACGCCCAGACTTGGCGTTGTGCTGTTGCATTTCAGTCTGTTTACAAATAATGGCTGTAGGATGTGCCTCAAACGTAGAGTGTCTCTGTCCATTCGACAAGTTGATCAGTTATGTAAGTCCCAATGATTGCTTGGCGACCACTACTCTTGACCCTGTCGCTTATTCGTGGGACTTAAACTCCTGTCTCGCCCTGATGGTGATGGCCGACGGCGTCGGTCTCTGCTCCTACTTCTGTGCCTCCTTTCTCCTTCTTCATTTCGAGATCGGAGCTCGCCACGGTGTTGCCTCCCTTCGTCGCGATACCTCCTCTCCCCGCTTCTATCTCTATGCCGTCTCTCCCCATCACGATCTCTGTGCCGCCTCTCTCCGCTTCGATCCCTGTGCTGTCTCTCTCCGCTTCGGTCCCTGTGCCGTCTCTCCCCGCTCCTATCTCTATGTCGTCGCCTGTCTCTGCTCCGATGGCGCCTCCGTTCAGGATCTTCATGTCTTCGTGAACGATCTTTACGCCGCGAAGATTCCTTTGGTTCTTCTGTAGGTGTGGGATTCGGGCCGAGCTGCCTCTGTGTCCCAACCTCGACCGAGTTGGCTCCTGTCGTATCTCGTTTGGGCGGAGGCAATCCAAGCGCCTGTGCCATCGCATCCTCTTCCGCCTCTTTCACTTTGCGAAGTTCTTCCTTTCGCTCTCTCTCGGCACGCTCTGCATCTGTCTCGTCCGTTTTGGGTGCTGTGGAATCCGAGTTGGCGTACCAGTTCAGGTCGCGGCCCTGCTGCCATCGCCCAACGGGGGCCTTGAGGCTGTGGCCGAGGTAATTCTCGCGGTGGGATGAGTTGGCGACTTCGTCCCAGCTGAAGTTGACACCACCGCGGGAGCCCGACTTTCGTACCGTCGAGAGCAGATCCATGTTGAGGAAAAGGCACCGCTGGCAAGGCGGGTTGTATCTGGTCAGAAGAGCTCGTGGGACTGCCTAACGCTAAATAGTCGTCGCAATTCTGAATTTGATATGCTTGGGACGTTATCAAGTGGATGCTATTGTGAGCATGCAGCCTAATGATAAATGGTGAAGTTTTGGCGATGATGCGACGCGATGGCTTGGGGCGGAATTGGTCCGCAGGGACGAACTGCGAGAAAACAAGGCACCCACTTGATCAGGGATGCATCCACTAATCTGGGGAATGTCTCAAATGGGCTTTGGAACTTAGTAGCCAAACAGAGGAACGTTTTTTTCTCATTTGAGATGCTTTATGAACTTGTTTTAGCTTGTAGAAATAAGTTATCTGGTCGTTACTTTCATTCCTTTTTTCTTTTTCTCTTTCTCTTTTGGGCACTACTTATCTCAATACTTAGGAAGAGCTTCACAGAGCTCGTGCTTCAGGACCCACTGTAGCCGCGCAGTCGCTACTCAGAGCTTCGTCCCAGCGCGTACCAAATCCCAGCTCTCCCTCCTGCCCATACATCCACCACCAGTCAACCAAGATGTCAAAGTTAAAGTCGAAAGAGGCTCGCCTCCGCGAGATCCAGTGGCACTCAGCAGAAGACGCCGCGGCACTCGGTGGCCTCCACTCCAACACCATCCTCTTCTATTTCTCCTACTCGCCCTTCTTCGAGCGCACCTCCAACAATGCCGTCATCTTCTCCCAGGCCCGGAACAACTCGGCCATGGGCCATCTCGTCCATACCCGCGAGGCATTCGAAGGCCACCTGAAGACCATGAAGGGTTTGCAGTTCGTCGTGGCGGAGGAGCCTGCCGAGCAGGGGCCCGGTGCCGGGACGGGCGTGTGGGTGATCAAGAAGCAGACCAGGCAGGTCAAGTTCCAAGAGGAGGAGATCGTAGTCCACGCATACTACTTCATCGTCGGGTTGAACATCTACATGGCGCCGACGATGGCAGATCTCCTGGCTACAAAGATTGTAAGGCCCAGCTTTTTCCTTTGGATCAGGAACGATTTTCGTGGCTGACTGTTCGATTCTAGATGATGATCTCCTCGGCCATCTCGCAAGCCCTTACGACAGCAGAGAGCATCAAGAAGTGGCAGGCTTCTACGGGGCATGTATACCAACTCCCCGGCACTGCTACCGTACCCAAGGCTACCAAGACAATCGAAGCCAAAGCAGAGACACCTTTGCCTGATGCGACTGGCAAACCCGCGCCCGCGACTGCCTCCAAGAATGACGAGACGTCGCTGGAAAAGCTCATTGAAGAATCCTACTGGGTTCATATGAAGTACGGGGGGGACTACATTGACGAGAACCCAATTACGGGAAGACCAGGGGAATTCCACTTGTCATCCACTGGCCGAAAGCCAGTCCCTCCTCCAAAGGCGGTGGAGCAGACCGGGATTGGCGCCATCAGTGGGCCAAAGCTGAACACCAAGATAGTCGACAAGAAGGACGGGAAAGAAAAGTCTCCAAAGTCAGCGACGATGCCCAAACTCAAGAGGAAGAAGAGCAGGGGCCCCAAGGGTACTCCTTCAGCGGCGGCAACCCCCGTTGCCACCACACCCGCCGCATCGTTTTAAGCTTCTTCGTTTTGGCTAAGGTGGATTGGAGTTATGGCGCATGGAAATATACCCGTATCGGTGGAACGAAAAATGAAAAGTCAATTATGTCCAAAAGGTCATTCCAATTTCCAAGTCGGGCTCTGGCCTCGACATGATGATCATGAGTATTCTATAATCTATTAAATGATGCTGATTTGTTTATTCAACTACCCAACCTTTCCCAGGTAGCTTCTTCTGCTTGACCTTTTTGGCGGGCAGCGGCCAGCCTTGCCCACCGGAATTTTCTGCTCTAAGATATGGCACGACCCAAACCTCCCTTGTCATTACTCCATCTGCGCCAGTCGAGGCTTTGATTTCCTTTATGGGCTTTCCATAGCTTAGTAGTGGTGTCCCCTTGGCAAGTCCGGCTACCTGGGCGCCAGATATATCCGTAAGAGAATACATCCTAGTCTTTGGTGTCTTGGTCGAGTCTAGGCCCGAGGGTGTTGATCGTTGCAGATATGAGTACACGATATAATCTGGGCATTCTTGTGTGCTCAGATGTGCCAGGGGAGATGTTGGGTGGATGTATACCGTGCCGTCCGATTCCTGACCTTGTACGGAGAGAAGAGGCAAATATGGCACATCGATGGCCCGTCTTGGTTTTCGATATTGCTCTGGCGGAGTCGGGGCAAGGTCGGCTCGGATGGCTATGTGGTCGACAAAGCCAGCTGCAGCCATTTGCTTGAGGGCAGCCACTTGCTTGGGAGATGGGGGATTGAGCTTATCCTGGTACTTCAAGTTCGCAAAGGCAGGCACGTTAACCCGTAAAAGCTCGGTGATTTGCTTGCGTAGTTGCTGGATTTCTTTCAGTATCTTGAAACGAACAAAATGGCTCTCGCACCATTGCTCCGTTGGCTCGTGCGCGAATTCAGCAACGACTTGAAGAAGCTTGATTGCATCAGACTTGTCATCGAGGAAGCAGAAGTTTCTGTGGACCTCGTTGAAGACTCGTCTGATTTGTGCTTGTTGATCCTCTGCAATAACCTCAGATTGCGTCCGAATCTCCACGTTTTCCTTCGCTGCAAGTGCTGGCACTGCCGTGTTCTCTGGAAGAAAGACATCGGCTGCGGACAAGCCTGCAACTAAAGCGATTGTGTAAGTTAGACAGTCATGCAGGTGCCCAACAAGGAGAATTCTGGCAAACCGAGGCGAGAGCGGGAACACAGACATTGTTTGACCAACCTGAGTCACTTGGCCACTATCCGACAAGGCTGATAGATATGTGAGAAGCTTTTCAGCTCGTGCCAAGTTTCGTCGATCTGGCGGAGTTGGGAAAGGAAAGTTCACTACATGCTGAAGATTCATCGCTTTGAGCTGCAAAACTATACCTTCAATAGGCATACGCAGCAGCTCCGGATCCGAGAATTGCACAAAATCTCTCTCGTAGACAGCTGAAGAATAAAGACGATAGCAATGACCAGGTCCAGTACGGCCAGCTCGACCAGAGCGTTGGTTAGCGCTGGCTTTGCTAATCCACCCGATTTCGTAGCTTTGAACACCCGTAAGTCGATCGTAATGTCTTTCTTTGGATCTTCCGCAATCAAAGACATATCTCGTGCCGGGGATGGTCAAACTAGTCTCCGCGACGTTGGTCGCTAGAATGATTTGACGAGTTCCTTCAGGAGGCTCTTCGAAGACGCGAAGCTGCTCACGGGTTGGAAGCAAGGAATACAGTGGAAGGACCTGCATCTTCAGAGGCGCTGCCTCCTGGTCGTCTTCAATCTGAAATTCATCCTCCTCATCCTCCTCCTCTCCCTCGGAGGGGATGTCATCGAACTCATCCCCAGCATTCTCATCAGCATCCCCAAACTCGATGTCTTCCACTTCAACAGGAGCCTCGTTGGCTGTTATTTGAACTTTGGGGGGTTCTGCAGACCTCATTCCTCCAAACGCTGCCTTTAATTGCTTGCTGAGTTGAAGAATTTCGTTGCGGCCAGTTAAGAAAACCAAAAAGCCGCCCGGAGGAAGCTTGCGGTGTCCACGGCTGACCTTGTTGAACGCTTCCTCGACATAATCGGAAGTGGTTCGTCGCGAGAAATGCATTGTGACTGGATGCTGACGTCCCTCAACTTCGAGGACCGGAGGCGGTGTTGAAAACAATGTTGGGTTCATCGTGAGATCTTCTACCCTTAGGGTAGCAGACATGATAATCAGCTTTAGGGGTTTGACTGTGGAATCTTCCTTGGAAAGCTCAGTCCGTAGCTTGATCACTCGACTGAGCATGCCGATGAGGATATCTGTGTTAACGCTTCTCTCGTGAGCCTCGTCAATTACAATTGCGGAATATTTTCGCAGTGTAATATCCTGAGCAATCTCTCGCAACAACACACCATCAGTCATGAACTTGATGGCGGTCTTGGAGCTGACGGTACCCTCGAATCGGATCTGGTAAGCCACTCGGTCCGAATGGTCACCAAGTTCCTCGGCAACTCTCCGCGACATACTGACTGCTGCCACCCTCCTTGGTTGAGTAATTCCAATTAGCCCTGGGGTGGGCGAGTCTGGTGATCCGTAGCCGGATTCATAAAGAAATTGAGGGATCTGAGTCGTCTTTCCCGAACCAGTTGCACCACAAACTACAACAATATCGTGGTTATGTATGGCTTCCATCAGTCTCTGCTCCTCGGAAACGACGGGTAGCTTGAGCCGAGCTTCTTGAATTTCCGGTGTCCTTGTGACAGACACGCTGAATACCTTCCTGTCTATTCTCTCGGTCGGCTTGAGCTCCATTGGCAATGGGTCTTGCTCGGGGGCTCGAGGAACAAAATTATCAGGCTTGGGTATCACTAAATTCGAAGTGGAAGTCTCGTCCGTTGGGTTGAACCCAAGAGCTTCGTTCCGCTGTTGAGTGGCCCAGGCCTTGAACGCTGATGACCTTGCACCTTTGGATTCACCACCGTCGTTTTCTGGCTCGGAGCCGTCAGAGTCCTCATCTGAGCTCTCACTATCCTCCTCCGAAGGGCCATTTCCCTGACTCTCGCCATCCTCTGCTTCATCCGGATTCTGGTCGTTGGAATCCTCGTCGGATGTGTCGTCTTCTTGGCTGTCATCCTCGCCCTCGTCACTTTCAAAACCACCCCACTCTTCATACTCTGATTCCTCCGATTCTTCCTCGGTCGGTACCTGAGTGGGTAGACTTGTGACTTTCGACTTTACTCCCCCACGCTTCTGCCTCTTTGGAATGATAGGTCGGCCATCACCATCCACGTCCAAAGGCCGCTTGAGACCTGCACCGATGCTCGGGGCGCTGGAAACCTGAGGACTTGGCTTCTCAGTTGCTGATGCTGGTGCAGACTGTGCTGGCGAAGTATCATCGTCGCCCATCTCTTCATCAACCTTTTCTCCGCCTTTGCTGGAATCG